TCACAATCCAAATTCAGAGCTGTATCAAGCTTGAATGTTGTGTCCATACTTGCCCCAACTGTTCAGGGTTCGACCTCTGCGGTCGTATCAAGCTGCGCCCAGCGAAGCATTTTATCTATTTTACTTTTATGGTTGCAAAGAAATTTTTATTTTTAGATATTACTGTTAAATGATGCTGATTAAGGTTTTTGCTATGTTTAGCCATGACTATGATGTCATTTTCTATTTTAATATCTGTTATGATGTATTTAAATGGGCTTTTATGGTTACAAAGGAATTTTATTTTTAGATATTACTATAAAATGTTGCTGATGCTGATTAAGGATTTTGTTTATTTTTAGCCATGACTATGATGTCATTTTCTATTTTAATACCTTTATGATGTAATTTCCATTTTTAGATATTACTGTTAAATGATGCTGATTAAGGGTTTTTTGCTATGTTTAGCCATGACTATGATGTCATTTTCTATTTTAATATCTTTATGATGTATTTAAATGGGCTTTTATGGTTACAAAGGAATTTTATTTTTAGATATTACTTTAAATGTTGCTGATTAAGGATTTTTGTTTATTTTTAGCCATGACTATGATGTCACTTTCTATTTTAATACCTTTATGATGTATTTAAATGGGCTCCCATGTATTTAGATTTTTGATTATTTATACATGTTACCAAATTGGTCCACATTGAACAAAAACGGTCCAAATTTCAACTTTATTACATTACATCAAACATTGAATTCTACATATTCTTTGATATATTGAAATTAACAAACAATTTAGTTTATGGAGATTCCACCATAATAGGTAAATTAAATTTTTTCCAGTTCTTACACCACATTCATCCTGTGTCAGAAACCTATGCTGTGTCAAATATTTAATGACAATCCAAAGTCATAGCTGTATCAAGCTTGAATTTTGTGTCCATACTTGCCCCAACTGTTCAGGGTTCGACCTCTGCGGTCGTATCAAGCTGCGCCCCAGCGAAGCATTTTATTTTTATTGTCCTGTGCAAGAATGTATATGGTTTAGGGGTGGGGATCTCGACCGTTTACAAGTTTTCAAACATGAGGGGGTTGGGTGACCCTCAGGGACTTCACCTATATTTCATTAGATTTGTCTTATTGACCCTTACAAGAATATATATGGTTAAGGGGTGGGGATCTCGACCGTTAAAACGTTTTAACACAGGAGGGGGTGGGGGTGACCCCAAGGGACTTCCCCTATATTTCATTTGATTTGTTTTATTGTCCTATTCAAGAAAATATATGGTTTAGGGGTGGGGATCTCGACCGTTTACAAGTTTTCAAACAGGAGGGGTAGGGGTGACCCCCAGGGACCTCCCCAACATATCATTTGATTTGTTAAATTGTCCCATACAAGAATATATATGGTTTAGGGGTGGGGATCTCTACCGTTTACAAATGGCAGGGGGTGGGGGTAAACCTGGAGACTAGCCCGGTATATTTCATTCAAATCAATTTGACATTATAAAGAGGAATAGAGAAATGACAGGGATAGGGGTGATCCCTGGAGACTTGCCCTACATTTCATTTGATTTGTTTTATCATGTCCCATGATCATAAATGAAGACCAGGTGTGTGCATCACTTATTGTTCTTAAGTTATAACTTTAAAAATAAAAAAAAAATTCTTTAGTAAAACCCCCTCCCTTTCTTTTTCTTTTATTAAAATTTTTTCCATTTTCGTTTCATTATCATCATATCAATATTCACAATGATCGTTTTTCTCATAGGGAGAAACGAATCAGAAAGGTTAAAATCAATTCGTGATTGAGTTTAAAAATAGAAAAATCAAGTGACGATGTTCAGCTCGAAGCAATAATTTTACTTTTTAAATTGCACTGACTGGTTAATAATGTTAATATTGTTTAAGACAACACGAGTTATCTCCCGAAAATAACAATTCATTATCATAACAACATTTTCTGACCTGAACAAGTCAGAATTGTCAAACACCAGGTCATCTCAAAGACCACGCGTCCGTATTTACAGGTCGCGCGCCTTCATGAAACAGCAAAAAAATCACTTGCAAGGAACTTCTTTATAGGCAAAAAATATAAAAATGCCCATGAAAATACGGAGGTAATATGAATTACCTTTCTAAAAATGCCCACAATGACCTAGATTTTCACTAAAAATCGTAAATAATCAATATAATATTCAATGACTTCTCATTCGAGACACTTCCAAAACAACGACTCTCAAACACGTGATCTCTTGCAAAAAACCACGTGATCGTATGTGTCGTAGATCGGCGGCAAATTCAAAATAACTTCTGGTTTGACGGACTCGAGTGAAAACTACGCAAAACAAAAATTGACGCGTACAGGTCAGAATTTCAAAACACTTTCTGACTTTAAGAAGTCATTTTATTCTGACTTGTTTATGTCAGAGCTCTGACTGGTCTTTCTCCAATAATGAATTTTAATCGCCACAATTTTTATTTTTTCGCAAATTGTGGAACAGTGGAAACCCTGTGTTCCATACATGTAGACTGAAAACAAAGCTTTTAACTGATCAACCCAACAAGTTTAAAAGGTTCCAACAGAGTTCGCAAAAATGGTCAGTCCTGTCGGTCAAAATGAGGCTCGGACCAGTATTTTGGAGGCTAGTGCTGGTCCCTATGACTGATGTAAAAACGGCCGTTGTAGTGCATATTTCAGCACTTTTTTACATCGGTTATTAGATGTAACACAACTGTTTCCAATAAGTGTTTACATCGGTTATCAGATGTACCCGCTGCCAAATTCCGGTACTGGTTTACAGATTTATTATAAACAAACCAAAGCGGCGATCTACACGTGGCCTACTAAATTTGTTCATAGAGCCATTCCTGGCAAACAAACGGCGATTGAACCCTACAATGGAGCAAACAAATACTGTAACAGCCGAGAAAGTGATTCAGATGATGAAATGGATAGTGAAGATGACTTTAAATAAGAACAATCAGAAGACCTTCTTCTTCTTCAGTTATACAACAAAACTTCAGGATACTGGTTTACCTGAACTGGTCCTTCATTGTTGATTTGCCTGTGGGTGCGAAGAATAAAACTAATATTAATAAAGTTATTTTGCAATAAAATTTATTATTAATTTTATTTCAGGATAAAATTGACAGATTTTGTAGGACTGGCTAAAATTTTGTAGGACTGACAAATAATCATGCTTTGTCGGTCCCATGACCGACGGGTCAAAATAAGTTTTCGCGAACTCTGTTCCAATATATACTAAATTACAAAAGAAACTTGGCATCAGTATTTACTACATGTACATATATAGTTATTTGATTTTATAATATGCTTTGTATTCAGAGTCTACAGGAATCTGAGAAGTAAAATCAGAAAAAATTCATGCACGTTTTTCTTAGTTTAAGCACTTTAGGCCAGCTAAAATTAGTTTGTAGATTTTCATCCAGAATGTTGAGAAAAAAAATGGGGCGAGAAGGAGGATTCTATTTTTATGCCCCCGCCACGGAGGGGGCATTAAGTTTTACCCTTGTCCGTCTGGACGTATGTAAAATTGGTTTCCGTTCTCTAACTTGAGTTTGCCTCAACCAAATGTTATGAAACTTATTCACAATGCTTATTACTACAAAATACAGAACAAATTTGAATTTTGGTAGCGTCACTCTAACCATTCTAGAGTTGTGCCCCTTTATCAATGGAAAAATTGCAAAGTTTCCGTTCTGTAACTTAAGTTTGCCCCAACCAAACATTATGAAACCTTAACACAATACTTGTTACCACAAAACTCAGATCAAGTACAAATTTGGGTAGCGTCACTTTTATTGTCTTGAGTTATGTCCCTTTATAATGTTGTATGCAAGCAGGGTTACATATTATCTGTGTCCATGAGGACACATTCTCCATTTATTTAATTTTCATTTCCTCCGAAAACCCTTTTGTAATGTGTTCTTCGAATGCAGAGGTAATATTAAGCTTATATCATGTACATATATACATGTACATAAGGAATTCTACATCATTTTTCAAATTCTTAAATAAATATTTCTGTTTGGCCATCACTGCTCTACTTGGCGCTTTAGGAACCTATTTGCAGTAAATACCAAAAACATGGAAAAATGATCTCTTTTAGGCAACCTACATCAAATTTATTTTGCTTTCTAAGCTGTGGTTTGTAGTGCCCATTAAATGAAACATATGCATCATGTGCATTGGTAAGCAACACAAATATTATGAGTAGAGTGAAATGAAAACTCAAACTCTGTTGAAAATACTAGGGTTGATGCTTATAAGATTCTTATGTAATGTGCAAATATAATAACAACAGAAAGAACATGAACTTTACCAAAAAGAAGTTGTTAAATGAATCTATTGAGGGGCTGGGGACAGAGGATGTTTGCTGTTTGACAACAAAAAACAACACCCTCTGGGTAAATCTAAGGGCTTGCTAAAATACATTTTGTACATTGGCTGACTTTTTGTACTCAATATACGGTCATAAATCGCACAAGTTTGTGCTTGTGTCAATTTCTTTATTGCAGTCATGCTTTTGTATCAATTTCTTTCACGAATCTCATTGAATCAATATAAATAAACATGGTTTTCTAATCACTGAAATTTGTGACATACCACTGAAGATTTCTGTTCTTGGACACCCTGAATATTTCATGGTAATCAATTTCTATTCTTGGAAGATAATTTTGTCATCATAGAGCAGCAGAATATGTGGAATTTAATTATTTTGGTTAAATTTCTCAAAGAAATACGAAAACCGAAATTTGCAACAGGAAGTTTTGAATGAAATGAAAGTATTGTCGGTTATATTATCTTTAACAGAAATGAAAAAATAGAGAAATTATAGTTTTTTTAATTTAAAAAAAATGGGGGTGGGCGGGGATGAAAATCTATCAATTATTTTTAAATGGCCTTACTTTTTACATGTATTTAGAGATTGCACAGTCTATTATTATTTAGTCATTAACTGAAAATTAAACCATCTGATATCTTTTGTAGGATTTTCACCAAGAGGAGGGCGGGGTGGCAGAGGAGGTGGTGATAGAGGTGGGGGACGTGGTGGATTCAGGGGAGGCAGAGGTGGTGGTGACAGAGGAGGACGGGGTGGATTCAGAGGTGGAAGAGGTGGTGGTGACAGAGGAGGGCGTGGAGGTGGATTCAGAGGTGGCAGAGGAGGTAATACTTAAATATGCTATGGTTACTCTAATGTTTTGCCCAATAATGTCATAAACAAATTCTGCTGTTTAATTTGGGATTGTACACGTTTTCCTGTCATTAAATAAACTGTATGTTATTACTTACTTCCTTTGATAAATCTGGTTTCTAAAGCTATAATTTTTGTACAAATAAATTGAACATTTTCCTGCAATGTTGATATGTTTATTGCATATTTTAATTGGTTGATTAAAAATGTGAGTTAAATTGATTTCCTTAACATCATTGAATGGTATTGATAAATCTTTGTTTCTTTTGTAGGCAGAGGTGGGGGAAGAGGTAAATACGCTCAGAAGATGTTTCTTTACATTTGCAGCTCATAGTACTACATGTATATATATAGATATAAGAAGATGTGGTATGAGTGCCAATGAGACAACTCTCCATCCAAGTCAAAATTTATAAAAGTAAACCATTATAGGTCACAGTACTATCTCCAACACGGAGCCTTGGCTCACACCGAACAGTAAGCTATAAAGGGCCCCAAAAATTACTAGTGTAAAACCATTCAAAGGGGAAAACCAACGGTCTAATCTATATAAAAAACGAGAAACACTTGTGAACCACATCAACAAACGACAACTACTGAACATCAGATTCCTGACTGATGTATGATATCTATATTCAATTAGTCCATTTTTCTTGGTTTGTTGAAATATCTATGGTTAAGTGTTTAAAATCAAAGGTTTTGTACTAAGTATTGTACACAACAAAAAAAGGTATAAAAAACTTAATTGATACTCGACTTAAAAGAAAAAATAAGTTCCTAACGATTGTAATATTTATTTACAATTATACCTTACTAAGAATGTGAATTATAAAGTGTATCAGTCAAGAATAAGATTGTCTTCACATAATTTATTTGTTGAAATCGGCCGATACCGAGTTGTTAATATAGATAAGCAAGAAAAGGCACTGTACTGTGAAACAATAAAGGCTGAATTTCATTTAATTTTACAGTGTGATTGTTATAATGAAACAAGGAGACAGTACATTAAGCCATTTAATTATAGACGTCCATGGTCATTTAAGCTTTTACATGTTTACTGGTGTTGAGCTCAGAAAATGTAAAAGACATATACACCCTTTGTAAAGTTCTTTTCCATGCATTTAAAAACAGAACAGACTTGTTAGTATCCAATAATTAATATAGATCATTATTTTTCTCTGATGTATTCATTAATCAGTTATGTATTTATTTATCAGTGATTGTATTTGCATATATATTTATATGTCATTCTGTTGATGAGCATTATTTGCTTAAAGTATTAAAGACTTGAATTTTAAAGAACTTGAACTGCAGATTAAAACTATCTGACAATCTTGCATCATGCCATGACACCATTTCTGTATAGACAATTGAAAATAATTACTGTTAACTCACAGCAAGTGATATTTGTATATTCTGAATTATAAACCAATCATTTGTGTAATAAATTTACATTATGTTTATTAACTTTGAAATAAATAGGTTTTTCAGTTTCTTAAAATTAAAGGGTAACACTTTAGTTTACAATGTAAACAATAGTACTGACCGATTGAAAGATAAAAAGTTAGCCCTATGATAATTTTGATGAACCATTGTAGGAGGCAGAGGAGGGTTTGCAGGTGGAAAGAAAGTTGTTGTAGAGCCTCACAGACATGAAGGTAAGATTATTTAGAGATGATGAACAGTCTAAAAGGTTGACAGTGTCCATTGATGAAGATGTTATAAGTCAGAATGATAAAAAATTATAACTTTCAAGAGTCTCTATTTGTAACCTTTTTGAAAATAGAAAATGGATCAGTCAGAAGATATGGAAAGGGGGATGGGGGATAAACAATGCACTGCTCTATTCTTATAACTAACCCAGAGGTCTGAGAAATTTTTTATTTTACGTTACTTCAAATCTGTGGATGTGCCTTGTAATTACAACTCTAACTAAAGAGCTAGGAGAAATTGATGAAACTTTACAAAGTTGTAGAAAACTACCTGAGGAAGTGCATAAATGAATGATCCTACATGTTAAAGGGGGAGATAATCTTATTTACCTACTTTAATACTGTGATAAGTCTATTCATTGTAAAAGTTTGTCTTATAAATGATATTTGATAAACATACCTTCATTTGCAGGTGTATTTATAGCTAGAGGTAAAGAAGATTCGTTAGTAACATTAAATTTGGTCCCAGGTGAAACTGTGTATGGAGAAAAGAAAATATCTGTAGAGGTATAATAAAAAAAATTACTGTCAGATAAAAATATGGTCATTTTTTTGCATTGTGTATTAAAAGTCTCGTCATGAATGTGCATGAAATTTTTGCCATCAAGCATTCAGCAAACAACCAATACATCAAACTTGTGTGTCTTCTTCTGGTTGAGATTGGATTTAAAGTATTTTGGAGTAAAGGAGATGTGATACTTGTATCTGAAAAAAAATCATATAAAGGGAATATATCTAAATTTAATCTTTAGAAGTGATGTCAAAAAGATGGTGTTTACAGCTAAAATGGTGTAAATAAAGTGTTTTCAAAAACTTTGAACATTAAGGTAATAGTCAGTACATCATGAATCCCAAATGGTTTTATCAAGATGCGAAATTTTTAAAGTTGTGTCAAATGATGTCATTCATAACTGGGTATATGAAGAAAAGTTGGCCTTGAACATGCTCGATATATGTTAATGAGACCGCAACCAAAGAACACAGAGAGTTTTGACAGACATGAATAAAAAGAGATGTTGGGTATATACCAACGAGACAGTTACACTATGTCACAGAAAAAAACGAATTCAACAAAGGTCATCTAGTCTTAAGACATTTGTCAGGACAATTTATGAAAGCTTTAATATAGCAACACTTATTATGTCACTGATTTTCAGATTTTTTCGGCGAATGATCCAGAGGTAATTCAATGAAAGCTTTTGCATAGCAATAATATAGGTCACTGTCACTAATTCTCAGTTTAATATACAGTATCAATAAAAACTAAAATTAAAAGCTGTCTAATGCAAATCTAATTATAATGTGTCTTTTAGGAAGGAGAGAAGAAGATAGAGTATAGAGCATGGAATCCTTTTAGATCTAAACTGGCAGCAGCCATATTGGGTGGAGTAGATAACATACACATGAAACCAGGGTCAAAAGTGTTATACCTTGGTGCAGCCTCTGGAACCACTGTCAGTCATGTCTCAGATATTGTAGGCCCAGTAAGTATTCTAATCCAAGACAATTCAGTATGGACTGGCAATGTACACTGCAGCTTTGGGGATTTCTTTGTTTTAACCGGTCAAAAGTAGGAGTGAACACAGCGTGCAGGAAATAGTTATATGGTCCTTTGTTACAACCTTTTGGGAGTACACAAACATTTCTTTTCTTTTAACATGCTAATTGAACATACAAAACCATGATTTTGATTTAGCAGACATTGTGTAGGCTGCATCTTTGTTGATAATCGATGGAAATTCTTTTTCTTGACTTTTGTTTAAGAATGTATATGATTCTACTGTTGAAAAATGGTGTAAAGAAATTTCCAATGATGAAATTATACATTGCCTGAAAAACATGAGGGCAAATTACTGATTTAACTCATTGGCCCCTGTAGACACGGATATGCGTCATTTTTACTTTCGTTTTGCTCCCTGGTGACGCATATGTGCGTCTGAATCCGCTATTTTGTATTTCCCGAAAGACGCATATAAGCGTCATTTTGGTTGGGTCCCGTTTTTGTTAAACCTCTTCTGATTGGTTCCTAGTAGAAGGATGGCTTTAGAGTCACATGATTCTCTAATGAATATTTATGAGATTTAACACGTGGCACAGTTTTCATTCATAAAATACTCATCGGAATTTTACTACAAAGTCATTGATCTGTGAAACGTAAACAATGGCCGGCGAAATCGACTTTCACTTTGATACTAGCTCAGATGAGGGTGAATTTGAAGGATTTACGCCAGAAGATGTAATTCAATCAATAGAGAAGGGTGCACAGTTGCACCAGATCAATGAGGATGAACTGTCTGACATTAGTTTTGACGAAGATGACGAAGACGAAAGTCAAAGTGAAAGTGGAAGTGACGACAGCGAAGATGAATGGACTGATGCCTTGTCACAAATTGATTTGCCTGTATTTACTGAATCTGTGGGACCAACAACTGCAATGACAGCTGACAGAAATGAACTAGATTTCCTGAATTTAATGTTTCCAACAGTGATCTTTGAAATTCTAGTCGCACAAACTAACTTATATGCCAAGCAGCTACAAGAAAAAGCAGGCAAACCTGACACTCAGTGGTCGGATACCACAGTGGTAGAAATGAAGGCATATATAGGAATAAGACTCTACATGAGCATCCTTCAACTTCCAACAATGGAAATGTACTGGTCTAAAGATTTTATGTTTGGAAATTTGTTTGTTCCTAATATTATGCCCAGAGACCGGTTTGATAAACTATGTCAGTACTTTCATGCGAATGATAAAACTACCAATCCTCCCAGAGGAATCCCAGGACATGACCGTTTGCATCATGTCAGAACAATATTAGAAATTGTCAATAAGAACTGTATTGATAACTACAAGCCTCATCAGAATACTAGTGTTGATGAGGCAATGATTGCATTCCGTGGCAGACTTGGTTTTAGACAATATTTACCAGCTAAACCAACTAAATACGGCATCAAAGTTTGGATGCGTGCTGACTCAGAGAATGGATATTGCAATGAATTTGAAATTTATACAGGGAAAACTGGAGATACCCAAAACCATGAGCTTGGTCTTACCTCTTGGGTGGTAGTTAACTTGACTCGTAGACTAGAGAACAAGAATCACATCGTAAATATTGATAATTATTTCACAAGTTTTGACCTGTTCAAAATTTTAAAGGGAAAGAAGATTTATGCTAGAGGGACTGCAAGATCCAATAGGAAAAATTTTCCTAAAGCTCTACATGCTAAATGTGTGAAGAATCCAGGGGAGAAAAAGGTGGTTCAAAGAGGGAGGATTACAGCTTATGCTTGGAAAGACAAGAAAGTGATTTTTTTCTTGTCCTCAGCTGATGATCCAACTTTAGACAACCTTCAAGTTCAGCGTAGACAGAAAGATGGTACTCAAAAAATGGTTGCCAGTCCATCTGTCGTACAAAACTACAATGTCAAAATGAATGGTGTGGATAAAGCAGACCAAACTAGAACAGAATATCCAACTTATCGAATGTGCAAAAGGTGGTGGACATACATTTTTTATTTTCTTCTAGACCTCTCAATTGCAAACTCTTTCATTTTAATGAAAGAGTCTCCAAACCATAACTTAATGACAAATACTGGAAAGAACAAAGTAAGATCATTGCTTAGCTTCAGAATGAAGTTAGCAAAGCAACTCACAGGAAATTTCAGGGGTAACAGAAAAAGAAAACGTTTATCAAATATTGATCCTCAGGAAGTTGAACATTGGCCTTGTGAAAATGACAAAAGGGGACGTTGCAAACAATGTTTTTCTAACAAAGTGAGAAAAGGTGTAAAAATCAAATGTAGTGGATGTGATGTCTTTCTTTGTCTCAGCTGTTTCAGAGAATTTCACAAGAAATAATGGATAAATATATGGAAAATTATTACAAAACTACAATATAGTGCAATAAACAAGGAAATAAAAATAAAAGTCAGAATGTATTAATTTTTATTTTACTTTATTTATAAAATATAACATATTATTGAAACAAAAAACAAAACACAACAATTATATCTGTTTGATAAATATTTTTAATTATTTTTTTAAAATACACCTATGTTTACAATCTATGGCAGCCATTTTCCTTCAGGGAGAGAGATGCTGCTGTTGAAAATCTAATCAGGAATATAGTGCAGTTATCTAAAAATAGATTCAGGAGGCAATGAGTTAATGAGTCTGAGGAAATCTTATACCATTAATATTAATGTGAGATTTTATTGACATTGGTCATTTGTAATTTATGGATTAATGACTATATGAAGTACTTTAGATGCATTATATAATTCATAGGATACCGATTTTTGCAGATTTCGTGGTTATAGGTTTAAATGTTCCAAGATGTACAAATTTTCTATGGGCTTGTGTATACTGGCTTTGACAAAACCACAAAATCAAATATCCACAAAAAATACAATCTTTCTTCAATCCACGATTATTGGTATCCAAGAAAATAAAAAATCCACAGTATGCAAAATTTCTCGCATATGTTGGCTGTGTAGTCATTTTAATTTAAGCTTCCTACCATGCCTACCCAAATTTGGTTTCCGTTCTCTAACTTTAGTTTGCCTCAACAAATTGTAATGAATCTTATACACAATGCTTATTACCACAAAATACAGATCAAGTTAGAATTTTGGTGGTGTCACTTTAATCGTTCTAGAGCTATGCCCCTTTAAGCTATTCCTGCTGCACTAGGTGCACTCGTCTTGTTACTCATTAAAATATACACTAAAATCTGATGTAAAGGTCACCTCTTTTACAGGAAAACCTGTCTTGTAAGGTCACCTCTTCTTGGCTTGCTGCATTTTGAACCTCAATTTAAAAGTCACTTCTCTTATAAGGTTAGATTTCTTTGGTCTCAAAAACTATATTTTTATGCCGTTCTCTAACTAAATGTTATGAAACTTATACACTATGCTTATTACCACAAAATACTGATCAAATTTGATTTTTGGTGGTGTCACTTTTACTGTTCTAGAGTTATTCCCCTTTCCAAAGGGAAAATTGCTGAATTTTTTGTTTCCATTCTCAAACTTAAGTTTGCCTCAAACCAAATGTTATGAAACTTATACACAATACTTATTACTACAAAACTCAGATCAATAACAAATTTGGGTAGCATCACTTTTACCGTTCAGTTTTGTCCCTTTATAACTTTATATGATATGCAAGCGGGGGCATGGACACATTCCCCATTTATTTTTAAAAAGTAACTAGAATTGCATTTCTACAATGAGATATCAGATTCCCAAAACTAGATGTTCCAACTACGAAACAAATGGCTACTAAATTAGTTTCCAATGATGATATCATACTTTGCCTGATATATATGAGGGCAAAATACTGATTTAATGAGACTGAGGAAACTTGGTTCTTTTCAAGAAATAATTATTGTTTAAGGGATCTGAAGCCATGAATAAAATTTGAATTAAATGGGTTGTGGTTGTTTCTGGAGATTGACTGAAATAAAAGAAAAAAATCAATGACAGTTTATGCTTCATATTTGATTTTTCAACATCACTGACAAAATTATTTTCCTAATGACTGATTCCAATTTCTGTAGGAATGAGCTTTTCGTTTATTGACACACAACTAATATTTGCTATACAACATGGTGTTACATGTAGATGATACATGGATCGACAGATTTTTGTCTCAGATCAATTTGCTTAGTTTACATGTATAAGTTTGTGATTATGTCAGTTAAAGGGGAACCATTAGTGGTAGGTCAATGATATTTGGTATGCAGTTGTATAAGCATTGGCACTTCTCATTTCCCGCCCCCTCAGTCATGGTCTATTGACATGGAGCTTTTTTTATGCCCCCACCGAAGCGGAGGGGCCATAAAGTTTTACCCTTGTCCGTCCGTACGTCCCAAAATTGGTTTCCATTCTCTAACTTAAGTTTTCCTCAACCAAATGTTTTCAATCTTATACACAATGTTTATTACCACAAAACACGGATCAAGTTTGAATTTTGGTGGTGTCACTTTAACCGTTCTAGAGTTATTCCCCTTTATAAATTGAAAAATTGCAAAATTTTTCATTTCCGTTCTGTAACTTAAGTTTGCCTCATCCAAATGTTATGAAACTTATACACAATGCTTATTACCACAATACACAGATCAAGTTTGAATTTTGGGGGCGTCACTTTTACTGTTCTAGAGTTATGCCCCTTTACAAATGGAAAAATTGTTAAATCAACTACAATCAATGCTTTAAACAATGCAATGTTTAATTTTGCCTTCCACTGATAAAACACAGATCAAGTTGAATTTGGGTAGTGTCAGTTTAACCATTATTGAGTTATGCCCCTTTATAAATCGAAAAATTGCAAAATTTTGTTTCCATTCTGTAACTTAAGTTTGCCCTTACCAAACATTATGAAACCTACCGTTCCTACTCGCTTATTAGTCGGAAAATTGGGAGTAAAATTCATAATCCAGAGAGGGGGACCGACTAATAGACGAGATCTAGCGACCAGAGGAAAAATCCAAGCTTGAGAAAAGTGGTCAGGAGTGAATTTCCTGTTCAAAACTACGTTTTTGATTGCCAAACTTACATAAATCAATAAATAAAAAGTTTTTGTTGAAAATAAATGACTACAATACTGTCTTTGTGTTTTATTTGTTCTTTGGTAAACATTTTCTGCAAATTCGTGTTGAAATTCTACTGTTTCCGGTTTGTGTATTGATTTTCATGGTCACATGGTTTTCCTATAAACCCAAAAGAAGAGCCAAGAACCAAAATTGAAAAGGAGATAACAATGTACCAAATATGTGAAAGGATGTTTTCAGCGGAGTTATTGTGTCATTATTGTGATATCATGATATCAATTCAATGCTTATAAATCATATAATAATCAAAAAATAATTTTAAGATTCATTCCCAAAATCAAAACATTATTCATTAAAGTGTCTCAGGCAAACAAAAATTACAAAATTGATTGACAAGCCAATATAATCCATTGATAACCCCAATTAAGAGACAAAGAGTTGTATTTACTAAAGGTGTGAAAACTATCAGTGATAGGTAAACAGATGACACTAATGAGTTGGAGTTAGTTATTTTAATATATTGATTAGCTTCACTTAATTTTTTTAATCCTTTAATCATCACAATATAATAAGAATTATGAAGTGTACATGCTCATTTAACACCGAGTTATGTATGCTGTGAAAAATATTTTCATCAAGTGTTGATTGACTTTAAATTTTTCAGGTTCATATTGGTTTATATTCGCTTTTCTCAAACAATAGGTTATTAGTCATACCCTACAAAATCATTGATGCATTACGTAAACAACACATGGCTAATCTAACATTTGAACAGTGAACAAAACAAGAGAAATGAATACATCTTTATTATTAACAGCAATATAAATTATCATGATGAGCATCAACTAAATTCAAACCAAACAAACATTAATGCAGAAATGAATATTATTCCTGGATTTGCATTGGTTTTACCGGCGTTCAGTTACTGTCAGCTGAAAAAAAAATGCCCAAATTTTGTCCGACTTATACGAGGGTCAAGACTAAATCCTTAGAATTTGGAGCTGAAAAGGGCCCCCGACTTATAGTAGGATCGACTATTAGGCGAGTTTATACGGTACACACAATACTCATTACCACAAAACTAAGATCAAGTACAAATATTTTTTCCGTTCTCTAACTTTAGTTTGCCTCAACCAAATGTTATGAAACTTATACACAATGCTTATTACTATATAATACAGATTAAGTATGAAATTTGGTGGCATCACTTTTACCATTCTTGAGTTATGTCCCTTTATAAACATAAAAATTGCTGAATTTTTCGTTTCCATTCTCTAACTTTAGTTTGTTCAACCAAATGTTATAAAACTTATACACAACCGTTATAGAGTTATGCGTGTTTACAAATAGAAAAATTGCTGAATTTTTCGTTTCTGTTCTCTACTTAAGTTAGCCTCAACCAAATGTTATGAGACTTACACACAATGCTTATTACCACAAAACTCAGATCAAGTTCAAATTTGGGTAGCGTCACTTTTACTGTTCTTCAGTTATGTCCCTTTATAACTATATGATATGCAAGGGGGGGCATCATCTGTGTTCACATGTGGACACAATCCACATTTATTCTTACCTGTAATACTGTCTTACTGCTTATGTGCATAATATCAGATATCAGTATCCAAAATCCAAATATGATGAAAATAATTCAATTTTTTTCAGAAACATGAGTGTGTAATGATATAAACAGTTGATATTTGCATAAAAGTTTCATTGTTTTGGCAAGAGCCTGGAGGTTAAAGTAATCCATGAACTTTTATATGATAATCTAATAGGTTACTGTAGAACACTCCACATTGAGAAAAAAGTTTTGCTTTGCCTCTTTAATAGTTGGAAATGATGTTGATAATAAATCTACAGTGTAGATTTACAAAGATTTTTTATTTGTTTGTAATACACTCTAATGATTTAAAATTTTGTATACATGAATTTTTTACATTTGTTGCAATTAAGTCCAGTTATTAAGCAGTTATAGAAAATTTGTAGTTCACATATGAAATAAATCTGGTATTTTTACCCTCTCCCTGATCTCATACAACAATAGGTTTTGCCAAGAGGTGAATGAAATTGCATCAAAACAAATGTAGGGTATATTTCCTTGTATTTTTCTTCTTTTTACATTAAAAGTTATTGTAATATAAAGGATAACTATTGGAAGATGTCCCAATTTCAAAAGTTGTAATGAAATAGTGACAAAACAACACTGTTAATTTACCATGCTCATTCTTAATCTAATGTGTTGTTTAGTCACTAGTGAATATGTTTCAATGTATAGACAGCAGTGAAAAATCATGAAAGGTCTTTTCACAAAATGTTTTAGTTTTAAAGGTTAAGCCTTTGACCCTAAACACTTGATCTGAACTTATAGAAAGGTTTCCAATGATGATATCATACATTGCCTGAATAACATGAGGGCAAAATACTGATTTAATGAGACTGAGGAAATCTTGATGTATAAACCAAATATATTTGTTTACATACTTTTCTTTACATTATATTTAGTGAGCTTAGTGTCTGAAAGTTCATGGTTGGTTTGTAGATATTGAGCTGTCCAAATTGCAATTAGTCAGCCCTTTGTCCATTCTATATATTAAGTGCCAATCTGCCTAAGAATCAGGCAGTGGTGAAAACATGACAAATAAAAACCCACTCAAGTTTACATTAATTTAAGTTCAAAACATATAATGGTGCACTAATAAAACGTTCATTTCCTTGTCCAGTTCTGCTAATTTACGATATAATTTGGTTAAAATGCACTACAAATTACCAACTGAGGGGAGCTAACTCTGTAATTTGCTATCATTCTAACCCAATGTTATCAAGAGATTTATCGAATTACCAGACACGCAGAAACGCAAGACCTACCATTTCTAACTCAGGATGAAGGTAACTTCAAAATTGAATGGTCAGGTTGGTGGGTTTTTTTGGGTCAGGTTTTGAAATTTTTCTAAATTGCCTGATTCTTACAAAGACTGACACTTAAGGTTAAAGTTTTGATTTAATGTTGTTAACCATATTTAATGTGGTCATATCAACTTAAAACTTAAGCCACATGTTCATTGTGATGTAAACTGTTTCAAAAATATGCCAACTTTGGGTTTTAGCCAAGATTTCAAGGTTCACTAAACGTGGAAATGTGATAGAGTAAGCGCTGCATGGTGTCTTATGGACACATGATCTAGTTTAAATATATATGCATATAAAAAAATTGAAGAAATGAACAGAAAAAACTTAGATCTGTCAACAGCACTTAATTTTCCAAATAATAAAAAAAGCTTTTCGTAAACTTTCTTTTAAACTTGTTTTCTGTATTGTTTGCTAAAGAATTCATAACATTGTTAGAAGTTTAGAAAGTCCCCTTTAAACCCTCTGAAATACAAAGTTTCTTCAAACCAATTAAACTGACCATTATAAAATTGTATGAAAGTCGAGAAAGTGCCTTTGAAACCCACCAAAGAGACACATCTTTCAGCACATTGCAACACCGCTAACATTTGCCATCCAACATGGTGTTTGAAGATACTGAGATCTACAGATTACTATATTTATTTTGTATTTGTTTACAGGAAGGTTTGGTTTATGCAGTAGAGTTCTCACACAGAAGTGGTAGAGATCTGATAAATGTAGCAAAAAAGAGAACAAATATCATACCAATCATAGAAGATGCCAGACATCCACATAAATATAGAATGTTGGTTGGTAAGTTGAACATAAAATGAGGTACTGACTAGTAAGCAAAACTTTCAACCTGTTGAATTGACCTTTATTCACCATGTTCACACCAGAAAAGATCTATTTTAAGCCAGTGTATTTTTTAAACCATTTTTGGGGTAAAGAAAGCACGAAATGCAATCAAAACCCTTATGGTACTGACTCTATCTCTTCCAAGTTTTATCACTTTTTTTTAACTTTGATGGTTAAAAAAAACAATGCAGTGAAATGATGATTCTTTATATCCTAGTCAGGCAATTTATTGATGATATGTTATACCTAGACATTTAAGTTACAATCTGATGTTTATTTGAATAATCATACTTTTCAAGAAAACTTTCATTAAAAATTATATATTAAAGTAGTGCATGGTGTATGGATCTGTTATAAAAATAGGTTCAACTACAACTGTACAATCATGAACAAAGGAAGATAACTCCAACTCAGGACTATAATTTGCCAAACTAAATACAATTCAATGTTCTATTTCAAATTTACAAAATTGCAAAATGAAAGCAATCTTTGCCCTTCAATGCGTGCTCACAAGCACTTTGATTTTTTCTTATCAACAAAAACTGGAAAGCATCATTTTCCATGTCAGCTCAAATCTACACCACACACACAATAAAGATAGTTACTACAAGTGAAACTTCTGAAATTTCAATGTTGCATGTATGACAACTTTTTCAATTGATTTTAGACAATTTTATTAGGACTGTTTCAGAAAAAATATATATGGGGGGTTGGATTGCACTTTAATTATTTTTGTATGGGTTGGGGTAGGTCAATTGTATGGGTGATGGCCATAAAAAAGTGCCTTCCTACCCCCATATTGTTTATTTCTGGGATAGCCCTTACAAACAAGTCAGTGGGAATAGTATTCATAGTCTACTCATTTTAATTTTCCTTGTTTTGAATGATCTTTTTTAAAAATCCTCTTGAAAATAGTAAATTTCATGCATTTTTTAGATCTATTATTTCACAGAAAAATATAATTATATGTTCATATTTATTCATAGACAGACTTAAAAAAAGGAATAATTTATTAAAACCAAATTTTCTCCTGGATGTTTAACAAAAAACAATCAACTTGACAATCAATCCATATGTTTATAATGTGGTACAACCAAAAAAAGATAAAAATTATGAATACTCAGGATTTGTAATTGTATCTAATTGTATTTGTAGGTATGGTAGATACGATATTTGCTGATGTAGCACAGCCTGACCAAGCCAGAATTGTAGCCATCAATGCCCACAATTTCCTCAAAAATACTGGTCATATTGTAATTTCAATCAAGGTATATTTATTCTTCCAAAACCTTTGAAGTTTTCTTTATGATAACTCCTTTCAGTAGAACAAGAAGGTTAATTATTGTACATCTTTATCTCTACAAATGTTAAATTTTGGTTATGTGGACCTTGAATATTGAAAAGTTTGCAAAAGTGTAAAATAAAAAAAAATATGTGATTTGGGACTATAGCATGTACATGCTTTATGATGGTAAAATAGTCATTAAGCTGTATATTTCATATTTTAAAACTTTGTTAGAAAGTTAATTAACAGAACACTTAACTTTCCTGAAAGCCGAACAGAGGATTTTCAAAAAGAAACTTTTTACACAAGAAGAGAAAATATCTAATCATGATAATATCAACGTCAGATCTATTATATCTATTTTTGATAAAAGTTCTGCAATGTTAAAGAATTGTGTGTGTATATTTTCTTATATTGCATCAGTGACCTATTAAAATTCATCGTTCATTTGTATACAAATTTGACAGATTTTTCTTTCCTGTAATTTCAGCATCCAACTTATCAATATCGAAATGATGCAAAAAAATCAATGCCCCAAAACTGTTATGTTAGGGCAGAAATTGATTGAATAAAGCTGACGAATATTGATAAGCAACAAATGCAATGATATTTAATTATAAGTACACATAATGTATTCGTATACATTGATAAATATGCATAAGTACGATAAGATTTGGGGAAAATGTGATTGTTTATTTTGCTGGAATCTGTGAGTGCCAAGTTAAGGTATGTTATTTAAATATAGCACATACTATAATATTTTTAAACATGTATTTTAAGACTAGGACTGTTATAATGTGTGGCTCTTTAACTAATGAAATAAAAGTCCTTTCATGTTGAAAGATGAATTTTGGATATTTTTTTTTCCAGTTTAGCACCATATATGGTTTATTATACATTTAATGTCAAGATTCCAAAATATGGCTTACACCCTATCTCATTTTTAGGAAACAGCAGTAAATTATCAATTTTTATACGACCGCAAAAAAATTTTGTGGTCGTATATTGGTATGACGTTGGCGTCGTCGTCGTCCGGCGTCGTCGTCCGAATACATATTGGTTTTCGCACTCTAACTTTAGTTTAAGTGAATGGATCTTTTTGAAATTTGACCATAAGGTTAAATACCACAAAAGGAAGGTTGGGATTGATTTTGGGGGTTATGGTACCAACAGTTAAGGAATTAGGGGCCAAAAAGGGGCCAAAAATGAGCATTTTCTAGTTTCCAGACAATAACTGTGGAACGGTGTATGGATCTCTCTGAAATTATACTACAAGTTTCCATACCACAAAGGGATGGTTAGGATTTGCTTTGGGGGGTTATGGCTCAAACCGTTTAGGAATTAGGGGCAAAAAAGGGGGAAAAACAAGGTTGTCCTGGTTAATGGACAAATACTTTAGTACAAAACATAATTTAAAGCAGTGTAAGGGAGATAAATCAAATACATCATTGAAATTATCTCCCTTACACTGCTTTTAAATTATGTATTAAGTAATGATTAATGAACAATAAAGATAATCTAAAACAGTGTAAGGGAGGTAATCCAAATACAACGTTTTGGTTACTTCCCTTACACTGCTTTTAAATTATGTTTAAAGAAATGCATATTTATAAAGGAAGACCAGTAAAAATATCTGCAAATGTTTTCATCTTTTTTTTTTACAAAAAAATCCATATGAAAGATTTGACACTATATTTTTATTAATTCTATTATAAAATAGATTAAGTTAGGGATCATAGATTTATTCTTACGAGGAAGCTCCGAGCATGCTCGGAGGATGCTCGGAGCTTTTTCAGTAGGCTCTTCTCTGCAGTTTATGTGAAAATAATTATCATGATCCATTAAGATGTCAATCAAATCTACACCACTTCTATAATAAGGAAAGTTGAGCATTATAGAGGAAGCTCAATTAACACCTGTGTAAACAACTGATCTATTCAAATACATTTTGCATGAAATTTTACAAATTATAGAATAGATAAGAAATTCTTCAACAGTACTGTGTAATGCTTGGAAAGAAATCTCAAGTCTCCACAAAAAAGTGAAAGTCATTTAACAAAAAATATACTATTATTATATTTAATAATCATTTCTTTTTTTTATAATAAAAAAATTCTCAAATTTTATAATTATATGATATGATTTAAATATAGTTTATATTATATAATATGCTACATAAAAGTTATCAAGACACAAACAACAGTCAGGGGGCGATACTAAACGAGTTATTTTTTTTAGTTACTTATATTAATAGGGTATTTTTTGTTTTTTTAAATTATTTGATATAATCTCAATTGTTATTTTAAATGTCAAAAGTGGACTAAAATGTAGTTTTTAAGAATTTTTATATCATTTCATTAAGTAAAATTAAGTATTTATCCAACTTGAGATGAGTATAGAGAGGTTACTTTAAAAATAATGACAAAAATATTACTTTTATAAATTATCTTATACATCTTCGAAAAACTAAGTATACTTACAATTATTTAAGGAACATATGTAATTGTTTTTGATAAATATTTCAAATTACAAATAACTTCAAGTCTTAATTAAATCACAAGGTTCCATCCATTTATATTTGTTCATCTCTAAGATTTTGAAGGAAAATGTTATTTTAATAGCCCCAAGAGACCAATCTATGACCAAGAAGTGTGGCATCAGAAAGGCAATTAGTGTTTCAGGAGGATTTAAATAGTTTTATACTGCATGGGGAAAATAACCAGATGTGAAAATTTGTTAAAGCTTGTAAAACCTGTATGAATGGACACCTATAGAATTAACTTATTCATGATATATAAGTAATATTTGAAACAACCTTGTTTTCAATATAACTTGTAAGGTAATATTGAAAATTAAAAGTTTTTAAAAAATTGTAAGTATACTTAGTTTTTCGAAGATGTATAAGATAATTTATAAAAGTAATATTTTTGTCATTATTTTTAAAGTAACCTCTCTATACTCATCTCAAGTTGGATAAATACTTAATTTTACTTAATGAAATGATATAAAAATTCTTAAAAAATACATTTAGTCCACATTTGACTTTTAAATAACAATTGAGATTATATCAAATAATTTAAAAAAACAAAAAATACCCTATTAATATAAGTAACTAAAAAAAATAACTTGTTTAGTATCGCCCCCTGACTGTTGTTTGTGTCTTGATAACTTTTATGTAGCATATTATATAATATAAACTATATTTAAATCATATCATCTAAATATAAAATTTGAGAATTTTTTTATTATAAAAAAAGAAATGATCATGATGATTATTTTAAAAATATAATAATTATATTTTTTTTGTTAAATGACTTTCACTTTTTGTGGAGACTTGAGATTTCTTTCCAAGCATTACACAGTACCATTGAAGAATTTCTAATCTATTCTATAGTTTTGTAAAATTTAAGGCAAAATGTATTTGAATAGATTAGATGTTTACACAGGTGTTAATTGAGCTTCCTCTATAATGCTCTACTTTCCTTATTATAGAAGTGGTGTAGATTTGATTGACATCTTAATGGATCATGATAATTATTTTCACATAAACTGCAGAGAAGAGCCTACTGAAAAAGCTCCGAGCATCCTCCGAGCATGCTCGGAGCTTCCTCGTAAGAATAAATCTATGATCCCTTAGCACTATGGTAAATTTAAATGGGTAATTATGGTTGCCAACTCCATTGGAAATTTGAATTGAGATTATGACCATATCTTGAGGGAAAGAATTTTTTTGGGGAAAAAAGGGGGGGGGGGGGATAAAAAGAAATTGTGGGGGGCCAATTTTTTCTCATTTCAGATTTTAGAAATTAAAAAGAATTATTCTTCAAATATTATTTTTTTTTCAAATTTCAAATATTGAAAAATTTCAAGAAGTAATCTTTAATTGCACAGTATGGCGCATTAGATTTGTAAAATCTTTGATCACATTTATTTATTTGTTATGCCGAATCTAACAGTGTATTTAGATTTTTAATTTTGGGTCCAGTTTTCAAATTGGTCTACATTAATGTCCAAAGGGTCCAAAATTAAACTTTGTTTGATTTTAGCAAAAATTGAATATATGAGGTTCTTTGATATGCTGAATCTAAACATGTATTTAGATTTTTGATTTTTGGCCCAGTTTTCAAGTTGGTCCAAATTGGGGTCCAAAATTAAACTTTGTTTGATTTCAACAAAAATTGAATATATGGGGTTCTTTGATATGCTGAATCTAACCATGTATTTAGATTTTTTATTTGTGGACCCCGTTATCTAATTGGTTCATATTGAGGTCAAAAGGGTCCAAAATTAAACTTTGTTTGATTTCATCTAAAATTGAATTATTGGGGTTCTTTGATATTCCAAATCTAACCGTGTATTTAGGTTTTTAATTTTGGGTCCTGTTTTTTAAATTGGTCTACATTGAGGTCCAAAGGGTCCAAATTAAACTTAGTTTGATTTTAACAAAAATTGAATTCTTGGGGTTCTTTGATTTGCTGAATCTAAACATGTGTTTAGATTTTTGATTATGGGCCCAGTTTTCAAGTTGGTCCAAGATAGGGTCCAGTATTTAAACTTTGTTTGATTTCAACAAAAATTGAATATATGGGGTTCTTTGATATGCTGAATCTAAACATGTATTTAGATTTTTGATTATGGGCCCAGTTTTCAAGTTGGTCCAAATTGGGGTCCAAAATCAAACTTTGTTTGATTTCAACAAAAATTGAATATATGAGGTTCTTTGATATGCTGAATCTAACCATGTATTTAGATTTTTTATTTGTAGGCCCCGTTATCTAATTGGTTCATATTGAGGTCAAAAGGGTCCAAAATTAAACTTTGTTTGATTTCATCTAAAATTGAATTATTGGGGTGATATTCCAAATCTAACCGTGTATTTAGGTTTTTAATTTTGGGTCCTGTTTTTTAAATTGGTCTACATTGAGGTCCAAAGGGTCCAAATTAAACTTAGTTTGATTTTAACAAAAATTGAATTCTTGGGGTTCTTTGATTTGCTGAATCTAAACATGTGTTTAGATTTTTGATTATGGGCCCAGTTTTCAAGTTGGTTCAAGATAGGGTCCAGTATTTAAACTTTGTTTGATTTCAACAAAAATTGAATATATGGGGTTCTTTGATATGCTGAATCTAAACATGTATTTAGATTTTTGATTATGGGCCCAGTTTTCAAGTTGGTCCAAATTGGGGTCCAAAATTAAACTTTGTTTGATTTCAACAAAAATTGAATATATGAGGTTCTTTGATATGCTGAATCTAACCATGTATTTAGATTTTTTATTTGTAGGCCCCGCTATCAAATTGGTTCATATTGAGGTCAAAAGGGTCCAAAATTAAACTTTGTTTGATTTCATCGAAAATTGAATTATTGGGGTTCTTTGATATGCCAAATCTAACCGTGTTTTTAGATTTTTAATTTGGGTCCCGTTTTTTAAATTGGTCTTCATTGAGGTCCAAAGGGTCCAAAATTAAACTTAGTTTGATTTTAACAAAAATTGAATTCTTGGGGTTCTTTGATATGCTGAATCTAAACATGTGTTTAGATTTTTGATTATGGGCCCAGTTTTCAAGTTGGTCCAAGTTGGGGTCCAAAATTATACTTTTTTTGATTTCAACAAAAATTGAATATATGAGGTTCTTTGATATGCTGAATCTAACCATGAATTTAGATTTTTTATTTGTGGGCCCCGCTATCAAATTGGTTCATATTGAGGTCAAAAGGGTCCAAAATTAAACTTTGTTTGATTTCATCAAAAATTGAATTATTGGGGTTTTTTGATATTCCAAATCTAACCGTGTATTTAGATTTTTAATTTTAAGTCCCGTTTTTTAAATTGGTCTACATTAAGGTCCAAAGGGTCCAAAATTAAACTTAGTTTGATTTTAGCAAAAATTGAATTCTTGGGGTTCTTTGATATGCTGAATCTAAACATGTGTTTAGATTTTTGATTATGGGCCCAGTTTTCAAGTTTGTCCAAGTTGGGGTCCAAAATTAAACTTTGTTTGATTTTAACAAAAATTGAATATATGGGTTCTTTGATATGCTGAATCTAACCATGTATTTTGATTTTGGACATTGGACCATAATAGGTAAATTAAAAAAATTCAAGTTCTTAGACCACATTCTTTCTGTGTCAGAAACCTATGCTGTGTCAAATATTTAATAACAATCCAAATTCAGAGCTGTATCAAGCTTGAATGTTGTGTCCATACTTGCCCCAACTGTTCAGGGTTCGACCTCTGCGGTCGTATCAAGCTGCGCCCCAGCGAAGCATTTTATTGTTTATTAAATCCTTAAGTCGAGAGCCTGAAATAGGATTGGAATGAAGAAAAAAGAGAATAACAGATTCAGTAAGATAGAGGCAGTGTTGTATTGTGTTATCATATATAGAAGATGAAGGGAACACCGTAAAAGTGGGCAGTATATTTAAGAGTTTGGTATAAACCGATCCACACAGCTAGAAAATTTAACTGGAATAAAAACTGTTTGAATAAACTATTTTTAGGGGGGGGGGGGAGGGAATTGTTAAAAAGAGAATGAAAAGCTTAACTTGAAAAATACAAGCAAAAAAAAAATTTTAAGCAATTGATTGTTTTTTAAAGGCTAATTGCATCGACTCAACAGCTGAACCTGAAGCAGTATTTGCAGGAGAATTAAACAAATTGAAGACAGAGAAGATAAAACCACAGGAACAGTTAACTTTGGAACCTTATGAGAGAGACCATGCTGTAGTGGTTGGAATATACAGGTATGTTTATCAGAATTTTCTTTAGTAGTTGGAATTGACAGGTATATTTATAACAATTTTCTGTGGTGGTTGGAATTGACAGGTATTTATAACAATTTTCTGTAGTGGTTGGAATTGACAGGTATGTTTATAACAATGTTCTGTAGTAGTTAGAATTGACAGGTATGTTTAAAACAATGTTCTGTAGTGGTTGGAATTGACAGGTATGTTTATAACAATGTTCTGTAGTGGTTGGAATTGACAGGTATGTTTATAACAATGTTCTGTAGTGGTTGGAATTGACAGGTATGTTTATAACAATTTTCTGTAGTGGTTGGAATTGACAGGTATTTATAACAATTTTCTGTAGTGGTTGAAATTGACAGGTATGTTTATAACAATGTTCTGTAGTAGTTAGAATTGACAGGTATGTTTAAAACAATGTTCTGTAGTGGTTGGAATTGACAGGTATGTTTATAACAATGTTCTGTAGTGGTTGGAATTGACAGGTATGTTTATAACAATTTTCTGTAGTAGTTGGAATTGACAGGTATATTTATAACAATTTTCTGTAGAGTTGGAATTGACAGGTATATTTATAACAATTTTCTGTGTGTGTGTTTGTATTGACAGGTATGTTTATAACAATTTTCTGTAGTAGTCAGTAGTGACAGGTATGTTTTTAACAATGTTCTGTAGTGGTTGGAATTGACAGGTATGTTTATAATAATTTTCTGTAGTAGTTGGAATTGACAGGTATATTTATAACAATTTTCTGTAGAGTTGGAATTGACAGGTATATTTATAACAATTTTCTGTGTGTGTGTTTGTATTGACAGGTATGTTTATAACAATTTTCTGTAGTAGTCAGTAGTGACAGGTATGTTTTTAACAATGTTCTGTATTAGTTGGAATTTACAGGTTTATTCATAAGACATATGAATGTAATTTTAAAAACAAATTCTCTGACTATCAGCCAACAGAATGAATGGAAAACAACTGTCATATTCCTGACTTGGTATAGACATTTATGAAGAAAAGGGTGGGTTTCATAGCTAGGTAAATCCCCACTTTCATGACTGTTGTTTACAGTATTATAGTACATTTGAGTTCTATAAATCTTCAAAAGGTGAATTATTAAAATTCAATTTCCATTGATGCACCGGTAGATTTTAAGTCCTACATATTTCTTATCATTATACAAACTCTTCACAATTTTTTATGCCCCACCTAGGGGCATTATGTTTTTTCGTCCGTTCGTTTGTCTGTGTGTCCTGCTTCAGGTTAAAGTTTTTGGTTGAGGTAGTTTTTGATGAAGTTGAAGTCCAATCAACTTGAAACTTAGTACACATGTTCCCTATGATATGATCTTTCTAATTTCTATGCCAAATTAGAGGTTTGACCCCAATTTCACGGTCCACTGAACATAGAAAATGATAGTGTGAGTGGGGCATCCGTGTACTATGGACACATTCTTGTTTGTAATTAGAAAAAAGTTGCCAATTAGCATGATTAGGTGTCTAAAGTTAACAAGTATTTCAGCTGAGAGTTTCAGATGAATAAATACTGGAAAATAAGCAACGTTATTGGCAGATCCAGGGGGTGTAACAGGGGCTGGAACTCCCTTTTTTTTCGATTTTTTTTTTCTCAGTCTTTTTTAATTATGTGAGGGTTTCATGGTGCTACTAGGGTTGGAACCCCCTTTTTCAAAGTGTCTGGAATCGCACCTGAACATAATTAAACAAAATTGATAATTTATTTTTAGAAAATATATAGTTCTTGAACAGACCTTAAATTTCTAATGAAGGTTCAAAAAGCTTCCTGAGCATCTTGGATGATCTTGGATCTAGTACAACCTTTCAACATGTTCAAGGAAAAATCACATTTGTCAGTTGTATATTCATTTTTGTAGTGTCATAGTTTAAACAATGATATATCTGTAATTAACTAATGCCTGAATTTTATTTATCTTTTTAGACCTCCAGCAAAGAAATGATGATGATGACAGCTTAAGATATACATATATAGACAATAGTAGTCCTATTCTGAAGACCTAAATCAAGATCAATTGTGTTTTGAAAAAGGAACTAGAATTTGAAAGACTGTACTGTGGAAAGATCTTAATGTACAGATACATATGTTAATGTGTATTGTATTAGAACAGAGAAAATACACACAATAAAGTTTCATTATATCATTTTAATTCTTAAAACAGACATGCATACTTTTACTGCTCCCAATTCATGATTAGCATGACTGACTTGTCTGATATATTGTGTTCATAGAGTGTTATTACTATTACTATAATTTGAGCATTCAAAGATAATTTTGGAATGGTTTTGGAATACATTCGTCTATTTGATAAAGTGAAACAACTAAAGTTATCACTTTTAAAAGGTGATCTACAAGACAATATGAGAGTCTTGATTTTTTTTCTCAATTTTTTTATCATCAGAAACTGCAGACATGTTTTGTGTCATTTTAGAAACTTTACTCTGTTCATATACCACTCCATTGTTAAATAATATTCATTAGTTTGTATCATTTCATTCAGTTTAAATGCATCAATCATTCATTTTAGTATACAATTTCTTATCTTACTCTTAACAACTCAACAACAACATGATAAAATTGTTTGCCAGATTCAACATTTATCTTATTGGTAAATGGTGAAGTAACATTACTGTATAGTTGTAATATTAAAAGTATGGACATTAAATTTCACTCTGCTTCAGTAGTAGAAGTAATAGACTTATATTTAAACTTTAAAACAGCTATTGAGATTCATCTCTAAGACTTGATATATCTACATGTAAACTTAACATGGTAATTGTTATTTACATATTGTAAAAGGAAGCGAAAAAACAAAGATAATGATCATGATGAATTCAGGAATTGGAGATGGTTTAAAAGTCATAATTTTTTAAGACCAATTCAAATTTTGCAACTTGTACAAGGTTTTTTAATGTACCTTTATGTATCTTTGATATTTTTCTTGAGTGATTAAATTCTGTTAAGTTTATTATGAATCATGAAAATAACAGATCTGTGTTGATCATTAATCAATCATGAAAAAGTTAAAGAAAATCTGTGAATAAAATTTTAACAGTTCAACTTTTATTGTGATTTAAGCAAAAAGTTTTTCAGGGCAAGTTACTTGGTCTTTTTCTTTTTTAGCCATGGCGTTGTCAGTTTATTTTTCGACTTATGAGTTTGAATGTCCCTTTGGTAAATTTTGCCTCTCTTTGACATGTATGGTCAACTGAGTTAGTACAAACACTAGTCTGCTGGGTTATACCATGAGGATGACTTTACAGTTATCACTAAAACTAGGTATACCTACTTCTGTGAGACAACATAGAATCTACCTGTGTGCTACAGTATCAATAGACCCTATCATGTTGATGTAAGCTACTATAAGTCACTGTATGGCCTATACCAATGAGCAAAACTCAAACATAAAGTAGAGTAAGCAATAAAAGGTCAGACATGTCAAAATGTAAAACAATTCAAATGAGAAAAACTACAGCCTGATTTATGTACAAAACAGTTAACAAAATGAAAATATGATAGCAACCTACACACACCATGTAATTACAGGGTCCTGACTTGGGACAAGCACATACGAATTGTGGCATGGAACCCATAGCTTGAAACACAAAATGTATATAACATGAGCAACAAAGCCAGATAAATCAATAGAAGAGTACAATCTTATACCATACCGAATTTAATATAACTTTTGAAAACAATCCAATAGTGTTATTATGAAGCAATATGTATATATATAATCTTGTTATTACGGAAGCCCTGGTTGCTATGCAAGACGGTACACCAACCCTGAACTGGATTTGAGATGCCATCAATAACAGTATGTTACCAGTTTTAAGTGTGCACACATGATTAAATACACTAAAACTAAAACATATTGGATTGCTAATACAAAAAACATGATGGTTACAAGTTCGCTGTTTTTGAAAATGAAAGTTTGCAACAAATACTTTGCGGATAAGATTGAGTTTTCCCTTGCTTGATTTTAATAAACCTTATACTGGTAGAACAATTGTGAAAAGAGGAAAGTCTTTATATTTAGTGACAATAGGGAATTGAACATCGTTTTTTTTGGGAAACATTTGTTTCCTGATGATATCTTGAATTTATTATGACTTTAAATGAAACCTTTGGGAAGAACCTTTATGTCCTTACTGTTCAAAATTTGTTATAGGTTTTGGATTTTCAATTGGAGCATAACTAAAGAGATATTAATTGCTGAAATGCGCATCTGTTGCAATAAAATTGGTACGGTTTATGTTATTACTGATATTGTGTTTAAAAGTTTATTTGCACATCTAATTTGTTTAACTTGGACTGACATGTATAGACAAATAAGATGCACTTTTTTGTTTTGGATGGTTACTTATGGTACAGTTAATTGAGTTTGATAAAGCTTATAAGTGGTAGGTTGTAAAAAAGATACAAATCCTGTTAGTAAGAGGTCACCAGGTGATAGACTTTAGTTCCAACATATACTGTAACAGCTATTTTAGGAGTAAGATTATCCAAAATCTTTGTGTGTTTTGGCATTTTGTTTTAAATTTCCGTGAATATTTATATTTCGCAGTTCGTGTACAGACCCAGACTTTGTCAGTTATCAAGGATCAGTGGAACCCCTCCCTTAATTTGTCTCAAAGAGACTCCAAAAGGGGAACATGTATAACATGAGGACTGTTTAACACATGTCCAGCTATATATAGATGAGATTAGAAACAATCTCTTGAAATGGAATTATTTTTTTACTAACATTATTATTGGGCATAAGTGTACACCTCAGATGTGGCGGGTTAACCCTAGTCTTTGGGAAACCTGTATAATTTTAAAGGTTCGTTCGTTCGATTGATTGATTGATTATGGTTTAACGCAACTTTCAGCACTATTGTGCTATTTTGTGGCGGTCAATTTTTGTCCCCGCGTAACGCGTTGCGGGGGACATAGAAACACCGAGCGTTCTTCTGTGCGTCCGTCTGTCTGGTCTTGTCAGCGCTCTCACGCCAGATTTTCATAAAACTTATATCATAGGTTTTATCAGCAATGTCTAAGACAAGTTCGAAAATCAGTGCCGATCATTTATTCTTAAAAGAGTTATGCCCCTTGGAAACATTTATATGGGAAATTGCATCGTTAGCGCTCTCATTTGTACACTTCTTGCCAGATTTTTATGAAACTTATATAATAGGTTTATATTAGCAATGTCTTGGACGAGTTCAAAAATCAGTGCCGATCAATTATTTTTTAAAAAGTTATGCCCTTGGAAACATTAATCATATGGAAAATTGCATCGTTAGCGCTCTCATTTGTTCAATTCTGACCAGATTTTTATGAAACTTATATCATAGGTTTATATCAGCAATTTCTTTGGCACTTTCGAAAAATAAGTGATGATCAAATACACATTGCATTTGCTCTGGAGCCTTCATTTCTCTAAGATATTAATAAAAGTTTATAAAGAACAAAAAAAGTGCTTTTTAGCTATTGCCCTTGTACCTTGGATAGATAAAATATGTGCAACGCGGGGAACATTGGAATTATGTCCTTTTATTATTGGTGAAGGAAGCTGGAGTGCCCGGAGAAAACACAGACTTTCGGTAGCAAACTGACAATCCTAGGTAATTAAAATTGGAGCCTAGCTAGTGCACCCGCACGAGCGGGGTTCGAACTCAAAACCTCAGTGTTTACTAGGTAGTGATTACAGTAGTTGAACTACTTGGACCACTCGGCCATCGAGTGCCGTAGGTTCGTTCGAAAAGGATTGGGATCTTGAGAAAGTATTTTTACGATTTGGCTTCTTGATCACTGACGTTTTTTTTTAATTTTTTGTTATCGCTTGGTTTGTCTTGGAACATCCATCAATGACCGTGCCAACCTTTCACTTGTTTTAATCATGCCTGTATAGTAGAACTGGCTAGCGACTGGCCGGGAAAGTAATCTGCCCAATGTATGTGAAACCGTATTCCTATATTTGTGGGATTAAACATGGTTTTGAAATGACCTTCTTTAGGTACAATCAGAACATCGCAGTCATAATAGTCCTAGCTAAATTTTACCAAAGGGAATTATTACCTGGAGATAGTTATCAAATATAAAATAAAAAAAAAGATGTTTATTTCTGCCATGGCGTTGTCAGTTTTTTTTTCGACTTATGAGTTTGAATGTCCCTTTGGTATCTTTCGCCTCTCTTTGAAAGCTTTTGTTTTTATTTTTATTTTCAGTCTTGTATTTACAGTCGGACAGGAGTTTCAATTTCAGTAAAAGGATAACACATTACAATTAACTATTTATTTCATTGTAAAACATAACTGTGATTATGGTGAAAGTTGAGCTGAAAAAGCAAATGACATGTATGCTATAAAAAACGTCAACTTAATTTATTAACAAAGCCACATTTTTATATATATATATCTGGCTGTAAAACTTTCCCGAGTCTACATTCTTAACAAAATCACGATTTTTATTTCATAAAAGATAAAATATTATGTGAGTGTATTCATTCTATTTATTCACTTTATAACTATTTAGCCACAGAGCGCAGTATCTACAGTTGAAGACTTATGTTTACCTATAGATATCTTTCTATTATTTGTGTCATTAGATCGGTGTCTCGGTGGTGTATTATATGAAAATTGTATAAAATAACACACATCTTTTATTTTTGATTTCAATGAAAGGTAGAGCAAAATACAAATTAGTATTGTTTTCTATTATTGATATTCAATTAAAACAAAAGTTTTGTGTTACTGTTTTTTGCATTACAGTGAAGCTGTAGCGACATTTAGTGATTACTACTGTCGGCTTGTGTCATCGTCTTTCGCGGCAGAATTTGTTAATCATAATACATGGCTCGACAACCAAAACGTGCTCAGAATTTTTTTTCTACAAAACGTCAAGTTTTGCACCTGCTATTTTAATTTTTAATCTGATTGATAAAGAGTGTTTCTTATACCAAAACATGGACTTTAACATGTTGGCAGTCGACTCACGTCTTCTTTCATAGACTCACAATTCTTTATTATCAGAAAGTTTGGTTGGTAATACTACATATATACACAAACGCAAATATGTTTATTCGATAAATTGTAAGCACTGCACGATGCGCCTGGATTTACACTATACTGACTGAATAGATTAACTAGTATATGTTAATGAAATGAATAAACATTATATAATACTAGAAGTAATGTAACTAAATGACTTGTTCTTGATGCTACTTTTTTAGATAAAGAATCCATGACCTGGGATACAATTTTGCCCCTTTTACTTACCACATAAATTACAGAATTTCGGACAGTTGCTCTTTATCCATGTAAGATATGGGCCACTGCAGAGACTTTTACCGTAAAGAAGGCAATTAGGATTCGAATCATGGCAGCTGATATCTACAAAATCAACATTAATTTGAATGTTATTGTCAATTTTTCTTATGATGGATATCTCACTTAAAAGAGATATTTACCTCACTGTAAGGATCAAATTAAGTAACCCTCAGTCAAGTTGTTACACCCAGGCTTTTGCAATTTATTCTTAATCTTTAAGGAAAACAAATCCTGTGTACTGTCTTGTATGCTTTCATTTAATTTGAAACTAACTCTGATTGTAAAGATATACATTTAAAGCAGACAGGATTCATATTTTAAGAAAAAAAAATAATATACATATATTCTCTTCTTATGAAGGTGCTTCCTTTTTTTTCTTAATATACATAAAATTCTTTGCAAAAAGTAAAATCACAAAAATACTGAACTCCGAGGAAAATTCAAAACGGAAAGTCCCTACTCAAATGGCAAAATAAAATGATAAAACACATCAAACGAATGGACAACAAATTGTCATATTCCTGACTTACAAACGTGCAATCAACTGATCGTCAATTATGGTTCTATGCAATTAATGGAAATAATATTGAAAAACATGGATATGCTAACCATACCAATCGATCGTAGAAATATATTGCCAACAGAAATCTGGCATCTTAAAATAATATTCTTATCATGTTTTTTCTTATAGTGTTAAAATGTACGAAAGATACATAGCAAACAATACAACTGCTTGACTTTTTAAGA